ATTCTCCCTCGAAGCGCAAATTTCTTTTTTTTTGCAAATTAACTTTCAATTGGCTGAATTTTCAATTGATCATAGAGCTCTTTCCAGCATTCAGGATATCTTTTTCAAACGTTATGTCAAATACACTCCAATATCATGATCATCAGTGAGAGTACATCAGCGAAATCGATGAAAATGCGTTGCAGCAATCACAAATTTCACCTGAACACTTTTCGAATATGATCGAAAATTTCAAAAAATCTCAAAAAACTCACAATTCACTGCCGGGTCCAATCAATTTGTAACTATGTTTTGCACGATCTGTCTCATCCAAGTCCTCCACCTCGAGTTGTCCCACTTTCTGTCCAGTTATGCTCGACTCTTGAACATGGAAATCGTATGAGGTCGACAGGAATTTCGGTGGAATATCACTGACATCCTCTTTTACCACAATAACACGCTTTGATACCGAGATCAACGGTCTTGTGCGCATATTTGCTGATATCTGAAAATTACTTCATTGAAATCCTCTCGTAGCTTACGTACTCACTTGAAATGCTGCGATGAAATGATGGTGTTGACGATGCTGATGAAGCATTGATTATACTAACCTCAATAGTAAACTCATTTGGAGCGGTTTCATAATCGAGAAAAGTGTTGTCGTTGACCATTAAAAATACCGTCTTTCCAGGCTGCATTTCGTTAGGCCTCATCTCAAACGCGGTCGAATTCACAGATAACATTATTGTATCGTATGGATCCTGAAAATTTACCGTTTCTAATTGTGTTAATGTTTCCTTCACATATATTCCCTTTTCGAATATTAAATGTTATGAGTTAGTATCATTACCAAATGTCACAATGATACTGCCATCACTATCTTTCAAAACGCTAACTATCAACGATCAATTTTCTGCAATAATTAATCTTTTTACAAACCATTTGTTTTGCTGTAACGAGTATCTCAAAATTCGGTACAATTTCACCATTACGAAGACCCTCTGATATATGAAGTTCTCGTTTGTTGGGCATTCTGAATTCAATTTTCAGCTCTGAAAATGTTTCATTTAAAACTGATCGACAAGCAGTTATAGTAGATAGAAATTGTTCAGAGACAGAACATACTTCAAAATGCATTCAATTGAATTTATTGATGAATTTTCAAAAACAGAATTATTTCTTTAAGACTTACTATATCTGATGAAAACAATTCAGTGAAATGTTTGTGAAAGCAACCCTCGAAATCAGTCTATGACGGCATTGAAAATTTTATCACTAAACCTGTATTATATGTTCTGGATTGCCCTCTTGAGAGATTCTCAAGCAATAACCCAGATTCCGTGGTTTTCAATCTTGAATCCAAGCTTTCTGTTGTTGTCGTTACAAATCCAGACTCGCTTGTCTCTTCAATCCGAGGATTCCGAGTTGTTTTGCTTGCAAAATCTTCAGCAGCTCCCCCTTCTATATTCTCATCCGTGTTTATTGAACCCATACTTAATGCTATTGTATCATCTGCGTTAGCATTTGTCAGTAAGTCGCCTCCCATATCAGAAGATGACATCTCAGGATTCGTCGTAGTCGTCGGAACCGATGTGAGATGATCATCAACCTCAAATTGGTGATCATTCCCTTGAGCAGCTGCAGTTGGACTCCTACTACTAGAAGCGTTCTGCCCTACTTCAGATTCCTCGACGGTCAGCAGTGTTTCTGTCGTTGTCATCGTCATCATCGATTCTTCTGCATTCATGTTAACCAGCGATTCTTCAGCCATTCTCTCTGAACTATCCTCGTTCCCATTTAGAATCCATTCAGAGTTCACATTTTCATCTGACTTCGCACCAACAGATTTATTATTTGATTCATCCGATGATGAGCTTTCAAAATTCAAATGCTTCTCTGTAGTTGGAAGCATTCCTTCAGTTTCGTCCACTGAATATGGTCCTTTAGAGCCTGAGGCTATCTCAGTTATCACTTCAGCTGTCGCATTCATCACATTATTTGATTCATCTTCTTCCACCAAACTACTTACTCGGCCCACCTCACTATCAAAATTTTCAACTTCATTCTCAATATCATTCCGTTCTGTTTCAGATGATCCAATTTCTGGCGATTCATTTGCTCCAAATACTGATGATACCCGTACAGGTGCAGTTGCAGCTGAGGGAAATCCTGTTGTCGTTGCGAGTGCAGGTACTGACGATGAACTCTGAGAATGCTCGCCAGATTCCATCTTATCAGTTGTGGACATTTCTTTATCACTTGTTAGCATTCCCTCAGTAGTTGTCACTATGCTGTAATCAGTTTGCGTTGTCATACGTGTTGTGATATCCACAACCGAATCGTTCATATCATTAGATTTCGTAGTGTCAGTATTGAAATCTGCTTCAGAACTTGACCAGGTCGGCTGGGTTGACGCTGCTAAATCTTTTTCACTGCTTGAGTCATTCTTTACCATAGAAGGAGAACTTCTTGGGGGAGATAACGTGGTCAGTTTCACTTTAACAGTCATTATTTCGATCTTCACATTCGCCATCGAAATGAATTCAGCCTGCTTTCCCTGAAATTTAGATATAAAGTAGTTCTTGATTGATCTGTTTCATAGATCACCATTCATTCCTTATAGACTAATCGTAAATCAGCAATTTAAGCAGTCATATATCATCTGCTTAACTGAGAATTACAAGTGTAAAGTAATATCAAACCTTTATTGAGAATTTATAAAATCCATTGCTGGTCTTAGACTTGTCCACATCAACATCAGCTCGTAGCATTATTTTCACAGCACTTATGAGATGATTCGACTCCTGGAATAGAATAATAATTACAATGAAACGATGACAATAACAAATTCAAAAGCAAATAATGATAAATAGTGACAAACGAATACTGCACCTGTTTCGTCATAATATCACCGATTTTAAACCACTTTAATCTATCGAACATAATCTCAAATGAAGGTGCACTAGTGCCCAATCGTCCAATGAAAAACACAACCGCTAAAAATTGTTCCTCCTGAAACAATAATACTTCACAGCTAACAAACTCATTAATCGATGCGATATTACATGAATTCACTAATGATCGATATCAATTTTCCTTTGGAGCATTCTCAAACAACGTTTCAAACAAGCAATCTTCATGGTTTCCAAATGTTTTGCTTCATAGAATTTCTGCTTTTATATTTCTAGATTCTCAAAAATGCAACGCACAATAAGTAAAAACCAACTTGAGTTTTGCCTTCGGGAATGACGATTTCATAAGTTGAATGCTCAAAGTGTGGCAAAAACTCGAAATTCGGTGTGTTTTCCAGCGACGAATTGAGATTNACCATAATATTCGCAACTGTTACACGCGGTGTTGTTCGTGCTGTTGAAACTGTTGTCCAATTGCTTGATTCATCTGTTACCACATCACTGGGGAAAGTTGTTACGACCACATCAATGGTCGATGCCTTCCGAACATCTGACGCATTCTTATTTCGATACAATGCTGCCGAATTATCTTTCTCGGACGTCGATGATTCCAAATGAATGGACCCGAACTTCGGTTCCAAACTCAAAATTTCGACTTCAACATTCCCAGCGTCTGAGCTATTCACAATAGCTTCAGAAGCATTTGGAGATGATTCCGTAGTGCTTGACGGCACTGATTCTGACCTTATTTTATCATCTATTGCAAATAAATCAGCAATCTGCTCAGATGGTTCCGCGATAGCAAGTGAGCTTGCAGTTGCTGTTGATGTTTTCATGCCTTCATCAGATGATTCTGAGGTCACAGTGGTTATAGATGAGAAGTGCTTGAGCGTACTCTCTGATGAAGCGTCTTGCTCAGTGGGAATCTCGAGTGTGCTAATTTCATGCTCGTGCTGCTGTTGATTGTCGTCGTTTTCCAATGAATTCGTTTCATTCGATACAACGAACTCAATCGTGAAATTCTTATTCTGAAAATGGAAGAACGTAAAAAATTTTAAAAAAGGTAAATTCTGCATTAAAAAGGAAGTTGCGTAAAAGAAAGGAAATCACCCTATAAACAAAACATTGTGATTCGGAAGGCGGAAAAATCTCGCACTATCTCATCATACAAAAAAGTAAGAAGGGTCGGTTTATTCAAAACAAACCCCAAAACATGAAAATATTGTCATTTAGGAATACTATGAATATAAGTTAAAAATTCACAGAAAGGGAAACAGATAAAAGAGAAAATGAAGGAAACCTCATAGATATTCTCCATAATGGTTGAGTCGTTGCGATGCTGTTGAATAATAACGGCGAATGGTAAATGAAAATCNAAATACTATGAATAAAAGTTAAAAATTCACAGAAAGGGAAACAGATGAAACAGAAAATGAACGAAACCTCATAGATATTCTCCATAATGGTTGAGTCGTTGCGATGCTGTTGAATAATAACGGCGAATGGTAAATGAAAATCTTTGGGGTTTTGTTCAGATGAGTAAACAACTCTGAGTTGATAATTACCCGGAGTGATGAAGTCAGTTAAGCAATACACCAAATCCGGTCGATAACAAACAAATTCCAAGACATTTCCATGGGAATTTTTCGCTTTCACTGAGAGAACTTCATCTCCTTAAAAAATATTTGAATTCAGGATCATTTCCGTTTCAACATACCTTATTCAATGTCAAAATCGATTCAATTCCATGACAACTTTATGAACTCACCAAACTTCGTATCGCTTCCAATCGTAATCGGTCGATCGAAAATTTCCGCATCACTCCAATCAATTTCATCTCGTATTTGCAAGTCATTCACTACCGTCGTCGTTGCAGTAGCGAGCAAATGCTTTTCATCATTTGTATCGCTCATTTTTGAATCATTTCTTTTCAAGTCTCGCGTATCATCACTATCATTTTAATTAAAATCATTAAAAATAGAAAGGCAAATATCAAAATATTCAATGAAATCAAAAAATATTGAATTATCATTATTTCAGTTGACGATTTGAATGGGAAGCAATTCGAATTGAAAACTTATTCGAATTATCAATCGGATCTCCCTCGCTTTCACACAAATGTTTTCCGCATATCAGTGAATACTCAAAATTATTATACGATACTTAAAACCTCGAAGTCTAATTGATCCGTGGACATGATGAGGATTACAACGATGTTGTCAACAACATGGTCGTCGACGATATCCTACACATCTGTCAGATTCAATTGCAGATGATTTGTTTGAATGAACAATTAAAAGAATACCTAAAAGCGATAGTCGCATTAATATCTGCATCATTTGTTGGTATTTGTTGCTCCTCTTCAGTTTTTTCAATCGTTTCAATGCTGCCGTCGAGTTGGCGCTCTGCGCTTAGAAAGTTACTTTCAGGTGGGTTTTCTTTTCCTTGAGGACGATTGCCTTGCCCCATCGATGGCAGATCATCCTCCATTGAAGTAACTGCAGATAACTGCTGTTCCATATTCCCCGACTCTCCTGGATACCCGATACTCTCTATAAAAAGAATAGCAAAACTAAAATAAATCTTGATCTATATAGTATCAAAAATAATGCGATTAATTGATCGTTTCATTGACCGCTCCCTTTCCGGCTCAGTTTTTGCTCAATAAGCTAATGAAAGGGTGATTGAAAGCAAAAATCAATCATCTGTGGACATCAAAAACTATTAATTAATCCATATGATAAAAATCCATAGCTACTCAAGTTTGCCAAATTCATAATAACAATTTGTGGATTGATTAGGATAGATCTGGAATCTTACGGTCTTACCACACCTTCAGATCTTAAGACAATATAAAACAATAATGATGAATACTAACCTGTGCTCTTGGAATTCACTCGCCCCTTGTTGAAAATCTAAAAGCTATCATCCTTGAAGGGCAAATCGAATGAACAATTAATTTATTCGAA